GTGGGGGTGGTGGGGGGCAGTGTGTGTGGGGGGCAGTGTGTGTGTGTGGGGGGGGGCAGTGTGTGTGGGGGCAGTGTGTGTGTGTGTGTGTGGGGGCAGTGTGTGTGGGGTGTGTGTGGTGGGGGCGGTGTGTGTGGGCAGTGTGGTGTGTGGGGGTGGTGTGTTTTGTGGGGGTGGTGTGTGTGTGTGGGGTGGTTGTGTGGGGGTTGGTGTGTGTGGGGGGCGGGGTGTGTGTGTGGGGGGGGCGGTGTTGTGGGGGGGGCAGTGTGGGGTGTGTGTGTGTGTTGGGGGGCGGTGTGTGTGTGTGAGGGCAGTGTGTGTGTGTGGGGGGGGCAGTGTGTGTGTTGGGGGCGGTTGTGTGTGTTGGGGGGGGCGGTGTGTGTTGTGTGTGGGGTGTGTGTGTGTGGGGGCGGTGTGCGTGTGTGTGTGGGGCGGTGTGTGTGTGGGGCAGTGTGTGTGTGGGGGCGGTGTGTGTGTGTGTGGGGGGGCAGTGTGGTGGGGGGGCAGTGTGTGTGTGGGGGGCAGTGTGTGTGTGTGTGTGGGGGGGCAGTGTGTGTGAGGGGGGGGTGTGTGTGAGGGGGGCAGTGTGTGTGTGAGGGGGGCAGTGTGTGTGTGGGGGGGGGTGTTGTGTGTGGGGGGGGGCGTGTGTGTGTGTGGGGGGGGCAGTGTGTGTGTGTGGGGGGGCCCGTGTGTGTGTGTGTGTGGGGGGGGGCAGTGTGGTGTGTGGGGGCGGTAGTGTGTGTGGGGGGCGGTGTGTGTGTGGGGGCGGTTGTGTTGTGGGGGGGGCAGTGTGTGTGTGTGGGGGGTGGGGTGTGTGTGTGTGGGGGGGGCGGTGTGTGTGGGGGGCGGTGTGTGTGGGGGGGCGGTGTGTGTGGGGGGGCGGTGTGTGTGTGGGGGCAGTGTGTGTGTGTGTGGGGGGGGCGGTGTGTGTGTGTGGGCAGTGTGTGTGTGGGGGGGGCGGTTTTGTGTGTGGGCAGTGGTGTGTGGGGGGGCGGTGTGTGTGTGGGGGGGGCGGTGTGTGTGTGGGGTGGTGGTGTGGGGGGGCGGGTGTGTGTGTGGGGGGGTGTGGGGGGCAGTGTGTGTGTGGGGGTGTAAGGGGGGCAGTGTGTGTGTGGGGGGTGGTTGTGTGTGTGGTGTGGGGGCGGTTGTGTGTGTGTGGGGGGGGGCGGTGGTTTTGTGGTGGGGGCGGTGTGTGTGTGTGTGGGGGGGGGTGGTGTGTGTGGGGGCGGTTTTGTGTGTGTGGGGCGGTGTGGGGGGGGGCAGTTGTGTATGTGGGGTGGTGTGTGTGTGTGGGGTGGTTGTGTGTGTGTGGGGGGCGTGTGTGTGTGTGTGTGGGGGGGGGGGTGTGGGGGCGGGTGTGTGTGTGTGTGGGGGGGCAGGTGTGTGTGTGTGTGTGTGTTTGTGTGTGGGGCGGTGTGTGTGTGGGCAGTGTGTGTGGGGGGGCGGGGTTGTGTGTGTGTGGGGGGGGGCAGTGTGTGTGGGGGGGGGGGGGGGGGGGGGTGGGGGCGTTGTGTGTGGGGGTGGGGGGCAGTGTGTGTGGGGGGGGTAAAGGGGGGCAGGGGGTTGTGTGGGGGGTGCATGTGTGGGGGGGGTCGGTGTGTGGGGGGTGCATGGGGTGGGGGGGGTGCGTGGTTGGGGCGGTGCGTGTGTGGGGGCGGTGCGTGTGTGGGGGCGGTGCGTGTGTGGGGGCGGTGGGGTGTGTGGGGGCGGTTTCGTGTGTGGGGGGGGGCGTGTGTGGGGGCGGGGGGGTTGTGTTGGGGGCGGTGTGTGGGTGTGTGGGGTGGTGTGTGTGGGGGTGGTGTGTGTGGGGGTGGGTGTGGGTGTGTGGTGGGGGTGGTGTGTGTGTGTGGGGGGGGCGGTGTGTGTGGGGGGGGGGGGGCGGTGGTGTGTGTGGGGGGGGCGGTGTGTGTGGGGGGGGGGCGGTTTTGTGTGGGGGTGGTATGTGTGTGTGGGGGCAGTGTGTGGGGTGGGGGTTTTGTGTGTGGTGTGGGGCGGTGTGGGGGCGTGTGTGTGGGGGTGGTGTGTGTGTGGGGGCGGTGTGTGGTGTGTGTGTGGGGGGGGTGGGGGGGGCGGTGTGGTGTGGGGGCGGTGTGGGGGGGCAGTGTGTGGGGGCGGTGTTTGTGTGTGGGGGTGGTGTGTGTGTGGGGGGGGGGGTGTGTGTGGGGGGGGGGGTGTGTGTGGGGGGGCGGGGTGTGTGTGGGGGGCGGTGTGTTGGGGGCGGGGTTTTTGGGGGGCGGTTGTGTGGTGTGGGGGCGGTGTGTGTGGGGGGCAGTGTGTGTGTGGGGGGGGTGTGTGTGTGGGGGGCGGGTTGGTGTGGGGGCGGTGTTGGGGGGGGGCGGTGTGTGTGTGGGGGCGGTTTTGTGTGTGGGGGCAGTGTGTGTGTGAGGGCAGTGTGGGGGGGGGCTGTGGGGGGGGGGGGCAGTGTGGGGGGGGGCAGTGTGTGGGGGGGCAGTGTGGGGGGGGGCAGTGGGGTGGGGGGGCCAGTGTGGTGTTGGGGGGCAGTGTGTGTGGGGGGGGGCAGTGTGTGTGTGGGGGGGGGCAGTCTGTGTGTGTGGGGGCGGGTGTGTTGTGTGTGGGGGCGGGTGTTTGGTGTGTGTGTGGGGGCGGTGTGTGTGTTTGGGGGTGGTTTTGTGTGTGTGGGGGCGGTGTGTGTGGTGTGGGGGCGGTGTTTCGTGGGGGCAGTGTGTGTGTGGGGGGGGGGGGGGTGGTGTGGGGGGGGGGGGGCGGTGTGTGTGTGGGGGGGCGTGTGTGTGTGGGGGGCAGTGTGTGTGTGTGGGGGGGCTTGTGTGTGTGGGGGTGTGTGTGTGGGGGTGCGGTGTGTGTGTGTGTGGGGGTGCGGTGTGTGTGGTTTGGGGTGGGGAGTTGGTGGGGGTGCGGTGTGTGTGTTGTTGGGGGTGGGAAGTTGTTTTGGGGTCCCTTGTGTGTGGGGGGCGCGGTGTGTGTATTGGGGCCCCGGTATGCGGTGGGGGCGGTTGTGTGTGGGGGCGGTGTGTGTGTGGGGGCGGTTTGTGTGTGGGGGCGGTGTGTTTGGGGGGGCGGTGTGTTTGGGGGGGCGGTGTGTGTGTGGGGGGGTGTCGGGGGCGGTGTGTGTGTGGGGGGTGTCAGGGGCGGTTTGTCGGGGGCGGTGTGTGTCGGGGGCGGTTGTGGTCGGGGGCGGTGTGTGGGGGTGGTGTGTGTGGGGGTGGTGTGTGGGGGGGTGGTGTGTGTGGGGGTGGTGGTGTGTGGGGGGTGGTGTGTGTGGGGGTGGTGTGTGGGGGTGGTGTGTGTGGGGGTGGTGGTGTGTGTGGGGGTGGTGTGTGTGGGGGTGGTGTGTGTGGGGGTGGTGTGTGTGGGGGTGGTGTGTGTGGGGGGGGTTTGTGGGGGTGGTGTGTGTGGGGGTGGTGTGTGTGGGGGTGGTGTGTGTGGGGGTGGTGTGTGTGGGGGTGGTGTGTGTGGGGGTGGTGTGTGGGGGGTGGTTGTGTGGGGGTGGTGTGTGGGGGTGGTGTGTGGGGGTGGTGTGTGGGGGTGGTGTGTGTGGGGGGTGGTGTGTGTGGGGGTGGTGTGTGGGAGTGGTGTGTGGGGGTGGTGTGTGGGGGTGGTGTGTGGGGGTGGTGTGTGTGGGGGTGGTGTGTGTGGGGGGTGGTGTGTGTGGGGGTGGTGTGTGTGGGGGTGGTGTGTGTGGGGGTGGTGTGTGTGGGGGGGGTGGTGTGTGGGGGTGGTGTGTGGGGGTGGTGTGTGGGGGTGGTGTGTGGGGGTGGTGTGTGGGGGTGGTGTGTGTGGGGTGTGGTGTGTGTGGGGGTGGTGTGTGGGGGGTGACGAGTGTGTGGGGGGGGGTTAGAGGAAAAGAGTAGAGAGAGGTAAGAGGTAGTGTGTTCAAGGGGCTTGGACATCCAACAGGCATGAGTGTGTTTGATAGGAGTGGGGGCAAATGATTCTGGGACTTTAGCTGTTGGAGTGTGAGCAAGGCAGCATTTTATGAAGGGATTCAGGGAAATCAGTTAGCCAGACTTCAGTCCTGGAGGTGGAAAGTACAGTGCCTGCACTCTGGAGGGGTGGGATATTTGCAGTTTGGAGGGGCATCTAAACTGTAGTGTCTGTATGCCTCTGGCGAAACAGTGATGGGGTGAATGATGGTGAAAGTGTTTCTTTTTCAGGTCACCCTGCCTCATGAACCTCAGAGTGGAATAATTCAGTGTGATAATCATAAGAGGCTGACATCAGAGTATGCCACTGAGGATGGGTATAGCAAGATAAAGCTGATAGACTGATATATGAGGCATTGTGTGGCAGAAAATAAGCACTATCACTGGGAAAATCTGGGTTAATGAGTCGTCCATTTGTGGGAATGTGTAGAAATTGTCTTCTGTATCTGTAAATAAGACTAAGAACCCCATAATAAAGCATGGTAACTTGGGATACACAGTCAATCTCTCCCCACCTGCATCTTTTTTATGCTGTACCTATGTTTTTCTGCCTTGTCACACCTATGTTCTACAGCATGTTTGTTCAAAAATGTAGAGAGCTTTTTCTTTTTTTGATGTGGCATTTATGAATAGTGCAACTTCATATACAAGAACAGATTCTGCTGGAATGTGTAGTGTTTTGGCAAGATTTCTATTACTGCACTCTACTGGTTTTTTGTACCATGTACAGTACAGTACTTTCAATTTAGAATCTTTACAATTAGCAATCAAGCTTTAATTGGAACTGTTTTGCTCAGGATAAAGCTTCATAAAGCGAGGACCTGACACAACCCTACCCTGAGTGAAATGTAGTCCTAATGAAAGCAAGTTTTGAATACTCAAAATTCAGTTACACTGATAACACTGAACAAAAACCAAAAACATATCCAGAAATCGAAGCAAAAGAACACACAGACAAGGCAACTCCTGCAAGCACTCACTACAATTCATCACTGAACCAACATGAGTGTGATGCACCAATCACAATACATATAGTCTTAAGAAAAAAAAAAAAAAAAAACTAAGCAAAGTGTACATACCTTCAAAAAGTTGAAGCTCTCATGTGCAACTTCATAAATCTTCATTTTGGCTTTGCAATGAGCAAATTTCAAAGCACTTTGGGGAAAAGAAAAATAATGTAAACAGTAAAATGGGTGTGTCAACATTTGTTAAATACTAACAATTCAGTAGACACGATATAACTTAAATCAGCAGTGTTAATCTCCCAAAATTCACCTTGCTTATTCAAGGAAAAAATTTTGTCACGCGTCGCTCCAGCCACTAACAACAAAATCAGCACCTTCCACTTACTTTCAACTGTATAGCACAATTTACCCAAAATTACAAAAGGGCAATTTTAATCCACCATATGACAATTAAAAAGAAATGGATTCAAGCAAAATAAACAAAGTATTAACAAGATATACATAAGAGTTTATTTAACACCTATGTTTATGCATAAGCAAATTTCATAGGGGCTCACATTTATGATCAGACTAATTTTAGGCATGTATACATCAACTCTTTTCAAGAGTTAGCAGGTGGGCTATAACATGAGCATAATATAATTTAAATCCTACTTGACACTATCCTATTAAGTTTTTATTCACGAGACTCACCCAGTAAGTACAATCTTATTAAAATAAGGCCAACCTATAGAACCCTGGATTATTCTGACTCCAGCAAAATTGATGGTCATGCTATGTATAAAAAAAAAAATTAGCATTACAGATCAATAAATTGTGGTTTGACTTGCTGGCAATATCACAGAATTAACTATAAAAAAGGAGGTAGGGCTCAAACTAATGGAATATATAATAGGACTTTTTGCCACTTTAAAATGATACAAAATATCTCCATTTTAATGCCTGAGTTGGAAACATCTACAGTACTTCTGTCAGCCCACAGGCACTAAAGACTTAAAAGTAATCTCTGGAAAAATATGCTTCTGATAATTTACTTAAAACTAATCTCTGGAATTAAATTATACTTTTGATAACACCGTAAGATTTGTTTTGTATATATCTAAAGCAGTAAAAACTTAAAAAAAAAGTAACATAATGCACCAATATGCAATGCAAAACGAAGTGCTATACAAGTTGATCAAGATTGTAGAAATCCCAAAATACTGTATATAAAAAAAAGCAAAATCCTCCGTAAGCCAGGAAAGATTCTGTAAATAAAATTACTTGTAACTTGACATACATATACTTGAATGTATACTTAGTATGCCAGACATCTCGGGTTAGTTAGGACAGCCTCCTAACTTATAATTTTCAACAAAATGTTTATTCAACTTCATCTTAACATTCCAACAAGTGTAGAAGACTTTGATTAGGAAAAACAGTAGACCTGTATAGCCTAAAAGATATCCACCCTAAACGATTCTCAAATTTTACTTTATACATAACTAAACAATATAACAAATCACATTGTGCCTGCCATTAGCACCATATGATACTAGACCTGAACCCTTTGATCAGTGTAAACACACACCAACCTGTTCTGCTGCCAAAGAAACACCTAATGTTTCAAGCAGCATTAACACAATGAATGGTAATCCAACTATGAAATGCTAAGTGTTATGAGCCTTGTTCCTAGTAGAAAATGAATATTACAATCCCTGAAAAAATTGCAAGAATCCAGACGAGCAATTTAAAAAACTCGCATTATCTAAGGTCATTGTTGAAAAAAAAAAAAATTGTAAAGCTAATTGTAACAAGCTTAATTTGAAGCCATATAAATTTAAGATACAAAATTCCTCATAGTTACTTTATGATTAACATTGAAAAACAAAAAAAAAAAAAAAATGATTTAGAACCAAGTTTCTTCAATTAATTCTACTGAAAAAAGCAAGTGCTAAATATACGATATTATATATTTTCAGTAAATTATATTACTGGCAAAAGCAGACTAAAATGCATTTCAAATTCTTGAAGAAAATGTTTAAAAATGAATCCCAGATAATGGATTAATAATATTACACCCAAGGTTTTAGGCGAGTTTTTGTACATAAAAACAAGGATAATTTTGAAAGTAAGTTTCTATCTACAAATGAGCAAATTTCTGGTTTATTCATGAGTAACATGGCAGGAATAGCAACCTCAATTTTTGGTCAGTACCAGATGCTGCATGACAAAGAAAAGATGGTATGAGGCCTGTGTGTTTGTGTGCAAAACATTCTATCTTTCCAACATACAATATTGCAAGACACCACTGAAGTTATATGTTTCAACATTTATATATTGTAATGAGATACCATAAATAATATAGTGAAGGAAAGATGTGGGAATGAGCTAAAACCCTTCATAATGAAATGTATATACTGTATAATAAATTCCTCTCAAGAATGAATTCCTCTCAATCTTGATACAGTATGAATATTATCAGTTACATTAACTTTTTAAAAGGACTAAACTATGTATCTCAAACAATTTATCATCAGAATTTGTGGAAATCTAATATGGTTACCAACTTCACATGGGTACCTATAAACCTAAGCCTGCTAGTCTTTCCTGGGTCGTCGACGGCGAACTTCTGGAGAACTTTTTGACTCCTTGTCATCTTCAGCCTGAGAGTCCTTGTCGTCTTCAGCCTGAGAGTCCTCTTTTTCTTTGCCTTCACCCTCACTCCTTGCCTTTTCTTCTTCTGCTTCATCTTCATCTTCCTCTTCCTCTTCCTCCTTCCTCCTCCTCCTCCTCCTCATCCTGTTCCATCTCCTTATCACACTTTTCTCCCTCCTGAGTGTCTTCTTTTGGCATGTCTTCCTTAAGATTATCTTCAACTCTTACTTCAGAGTCTTCAACTAAATCTTCCTCCTGCAATATAATTTTTCTTAGTATTAAAATGTGTTCAACTTCTGCATACAGCACAAAAAATCAAGGCTACAAACGTAAATAAAGTACACATATCAAGAACAGATTAAAAAAAAAAAAAAAAAAAAAAAAACTCAGCATAAAACTTGATACTGATTGCCCACCGCCTCAGCAGTACTGAGCTCTCCCACCACCACCACTATTTACTGTACACAATGGCTATATAAAGAATTGTAAAAAATATGAATTGTGTATTTTTTCCATTCTATAAAACACCCTAAAGTATCACGTAAAATTACTGTACTTAAAAGCTTTATTACTACCACTTTCATAAATAGCACACATGTGCAACAGTTATGTACAGTGGAACCTCTGCTTACGAGTGTCTCACCATGTGAGTTTTTCAGGATATGAGCCATCGCTCGGTCGATTTTTTGCTTCTGGATACGAGCCAAAATTCAGGTTGCAAGCTTCCCTCTCAAGGGAGGTTCCTTGACACTGGTGAGGGGCTCTTGATCTAGGGAATTGTATCCATGCTCCAGTTTCCTAAATTAAGCCTGAATATCTTCCATCCCCTACCCCCACAGGCACTGTATAATCCTATGGGTTTAGCACTTCCCATTACAATAATAATACATATAATTTTTTTTTCAACAAGTCGGCCATCTCCCACCGAGGCAGGGTGACCCAAAAAGAAAATACTTTAATCATCATTCAACACTTTCACCTCACTCACACATAATCACTGTCTTTGCAGAGGTGCCCAGATACAACAGTTTAGAAGCATATATAAAGATGTATAACATACCCCTCCAAACTGCCAATATCCCAAACCCCTCCTTTAAAGTGCAGGCATTGTACTTCCCATTTCCAGGACTCAAGTCCGGCTATATAAAAATAACAGGTTTCCCTGAATCCCTTCACTAAATATTGCCCTGCTCACACTCCAACAGCTAGTCAAGTATCAAAAACCATTCGTCTTCATTCACTCCTATTTAACACGCTCACACATGCTTGCTGGAAGTCCAAGTCCCTCGCCCACAAAACCTCCTTTGCCCCCACTCCCTCCAACCTTTTCTAGGACGACCCCCTACCCCGCCTTCCTTTCCCTACAGATTTATACGCTCTCCAAGTCATTCTACTTTAATCCATTTTCTCTAAATGACCAAACCACCTCAACAACCCCTCTTCAGCCCTCTGACTAATACTTTTAGTAACTCCACACCTGCTCCTAATTTCCACACTCCAAATTCTCTGCATAATATTTACACCACACATTGTTCTTAGACAGGACATCTCCACTGCCTTCAGCTGCCTCCTCGCTGCAGCATTTGCAACCCAAGCCTCACACTCATATAAGAGTGTTGGTACTACTATACTTTCATATATTCCATTCTTTGCTTCCACAGATAATGTTTTTTGTCTCCAAATACCTCAACACACCACTCCTTCATCAATTCTATGGTTAACCTCATCCTTCATAAACCCATCTGCTGACAAGTCAACTCCCAAATATCTGAAAACATTCACTTCTTCCATACTCCCTCTCTCCAATGTGATTTCCAATTTTTCTTTATCTAAATAATTTGATACCCTCATCACCTTACTCTTATCTATGTCCACTTTCAACTTTCTACCTTTACACACCCTCCCAAACTCGTCCACTAACCTTTGCAACTTTTCTTTAGAATCTCCCATAAGCACAGTATCATCAGCAAAATGTAATTGTCAACTCTCATTTTGTATTTTATTCCCGATAATTTAATCCCATCCCTCTCCCTAACACCCTAGCATTTACTTCTTTTACAACCCCATCTATAAATATATTAAACAACTATGGTGACATTACACACCCTTGTCTAAGACCTACTTTTACCAGGAAGTAATATCCCTCTCTCCTACACACCCTAACCTGAGCCTCACTATCCTCATAAAAACTCTTTACAGCATTTAGTAACTTACTACCTATTCCATATACAATGGAACGTCAGCTTACGAAAGCCCCAGCATGCAAACTTTTCAGGATATGAACAGTCGTTCGGTTGATTTTTTGCTCCTGGATACCAACGAAATTTCAGGATGCGTACTTCCCTCTCAAATAAATAAAATATTTATTTCTTTGCAAAGGTTACAATGTTTGTTTACATATCATAATATGACTGGAACAAAGAAAGCCACTATCACGCTGAGGCTATTTCGGGCAAACTTTACCTAATACTTATAGATTAAAGTCTAGACAGGTGAAAAGTAGTGGTTACCAATGTTCTGCTTATGGTGGCATCAACTACTGGAAGCCATTTGAAGTTTCTCCTTACTGTTTATTACAAAAAAAGTGATTTTTAGATGGTGGATTACTCATTTTGTAATAAAGAGTTCGGGATACATAAATACACAAAATATTTATCATTTTAATTGCATATAAAAGTAATCTTTAATATTATATAAAACAATCTTTGGTCTAGGGTATTGAACATACCGTTACAATAATAAATTATTAGCGTCTAAAATAATAATTACTGACCCTAACCACACAGGGTACAACTTTCTTAGACATACTGTGTCTTTCATTCATTCATATATATATATATATATTCTCTATATATTATTATATATATTATATATATATATATATTTTTATATATATCATATTTTATTATATATTATAGGTAGTAGGTTGGTAGGACTGCAACCGCCCAGGGAGGTTACTACCCGTACTGACCAAGTGAGTGTAAAACGAAAGCCTGTAATTGTTTTTCATGATTGGTAGGATTGCGGGTCCTTTTTTCTGTCTCATGGATCATGCTAGATTTCAGGTACGTCTTGCTACTTCTACTTACTCTTAGTCACACTACACAGACATGTCAAGCAAAATAGAAACACCCCTATGGGTTTTCTTCTTATTTTCTTTCTAGTTCTTATTCTGTCTATTTCCTCTTATCTCCATGGGGACGTGGACAGAATTCTTCCTCCGTAAAAGCCATGCGTGTTGTAGAGGCGATAAAATGCCGGGAGCAAGGGGCTAGTAACCTCTTCTCCTGTATATATTACTAAATGTAAAAGGAAGAAACTTTCGTTTTTCCTTTTGGGCCACCCTGTCTCGGTGGGTAACGGCGGTGTTCTGTTGAAAGAAAGGAAGATATTTTATATATATATATATCTATATATTATATATCTATATATATACATATATATATAACCCATATATATACACATAAATATTACAATATATATATACACATATATAAATACACTATATATATACACATATATATATAACAAAATATATACACATATATAATATACACATATATTTATACACATATATATAACACATATATATATAACTATTTATCATTCATTTATAGGTGTTGGTTGGTAGGCCGCCAACCACCCAGGAAAGTACTACCGTCCTGCCAGATGAATGTGAAAGCAAAAACCTGTAAACTGTTTTGCATTATGGTAGGATTGCTGGTTTATTTTTTCTGTCTCATAAAACACGCTAAGATAACAAAAGGATATCTGCTTACTCTACTTACACTTTGTCACACTTCTCAGGCCACGCACATGATTTATATAAGATCCATACATCTAGGTTTTTCTCCTTTTTCTAAATAGCTCTTGTTCTTTTTTTTTTTCTTCTATTGTCCATGGGGAAGTGGAAGAATCTTTCCTCCGTAAGCCATGCGTGTCGTATGAGTGCGACTAAAATGCCGGGAGCAATGGGCTAGTAAACCCCTTCTTCCTGTATACTCAATTACTTAAAAAAGAGTAGAAGAAAAAACTTTATAAAAACAGGTGTTGACTTAAAAAGTGCGTGGATTGTAGTGCGGATGACAAGAAAACAGATGATTGTGATGTATGATGAAAAGAAGTTGGATGTTCTGGCCTAAGCGGAAACAAAGGAAGGGGTGAGAGTTTCAGTGGGGGGAAATAAAATGGGATTAAAATCTGGAGTATCTGAGAGGTTAGAGCAAAAGGAACGGGGTAGCAGTAATGTTAAATGATCAGTTATGGAAGGAGAAAAGAGAATATGAATGTGTAATTCAAGATTTTGTGGATTAAAGTAAAAGGTTGGCTGCGAGAAAGTGGGGCGGGCGTGTGGCATAATACAGCGTGTATGCACCTGGAGAGAGAGGAATGCAGAGGAGAGAGAGAGGATTTTGGGAGGATGTTACGTGAATGTATAGGAGCCTTTTGAACCAAGTGTGGAGAGGTAATTGTGGTAGGGGGGACTTGAATGTAAATTAGGAGAAATTTGAGAGAGGGTGTGGTAGGTAAGTTTGGGGTGCCAGGGTAAATGATAATGGGGAGACCTTTGATTGAACCTTTGTATAGAAGGGGTTTTAGTTATAGGTAATACATATATTAAAGAAAAAGAGGAATAAATAGTATACACGATATGATGTAGGGCGAAATGACAGTAGTTTGTTGGATTATGTATTGGTAGATAAAAGACTGTTGAGTAGTCTTCAGGATGTACATGTTTATAGAGGGCCACAGATATATAGATCACTTTCTAGTTGTAGCTACACTGAGAATTAAAAGGTGTGGGATACAAGGAGAATAGAGGCATCAGGGAGAGAGAGGTGGAAGGTTATAAACTAAAAGAGGAGGCAGTTAGGGTAAGAGTAACCAGCTATTGGAGGATAGATGGGCTAATGAGAGCATAGGCAATGGTGTCGAGAGGTATGGGGTAGGTTTATAATGTAGTGTTAGAGTGTTCAGCAGAAGTTTTTGGTTACAGGAAAGTGGGTGCAGGAGGAAGAGGGAGCGATTGGTGGACTGCTGATTAAAGAGAGTTAGTAAGGGAGAAAAAGTTAGCATATGAGACGTTTTTACAAAGTAGAAGTGATGCAAGGAGGGAGAGTATTATGGTGAAAAAGAGAGAAGTTTAAGAGAGTGGTGAAGCAATGTAAAAGAGAGCAAATGAGAGAGTGGGTGAGATGTTATCACAAAATTTTGGTGAAAATAAGGAAAAGTTTTGGGAGTGAGATTAACAAGTT